ATAATATACTGAATACGCCACAAAGATATATTCTGTATATGCATCCTGGGGGTTGAAATTGGTTGCAAATAGTATTTCTTTTTCTACTGTAACATGACTGATTTATCACACAACACACAGCTTATTTGGTTTGCTACTTTTATTCTGCTTCCCCTTCTACACCCTTACTGTGAACACCAACCTACCCACACCCACTGCAGTCTCCACTGTGTGATCACATGATTAATATAACTGCTTAAATAATTTAAAGGGGGTTGTGTGGCAGACTACTCCATGGATCTCCTTGAGTTTTGTTGTCATTGTGAGGTGGCCAGGCAACCGGAGAAAGGAAGTCACTGCTAGCTAGCTAAATTCTTAAAATGACACAGCACAAAGATTTTGATATATTTTAGCATTTGAAGCAGCATAAGAAGGGGCATGCTGATGATGGCAAAAGCAGGTCAGTAGAAGCAAGCAGTTGCATCTCATAGTTCTATGTCAGATAGCCTGGAAAGTGGTCATCATACAGAGTTCATTGCTATTATGTGCATGCATTGCCTATCATTAACTTAGCTTCCTGTATCTGGCTACTCTCCTTCCCTCCTCCTAAATTGATGGCTTTTTGTTAATTAATGAAAAGTGCTCAGCCTCATAGAGCCCAAATGCTGAGCCATGTGTTTCTGTGATGACAGACATGTTTCACCAACTGGGGGCAGTAATCAATACGTAGAGGAAATGTTCCAGAGGGGGGGAAATGGGGATTGATCTTTTTTTTTTCATCCCCAAACCCTGGCTGCCTTCATTTTGATGCTTGTGCAGTTTACGGACCACAATTTGCACATCTTAGTTTGCATTTCTGCATATATATTAGCCCTTCTGTCAGAGTGAGAGATTGACAAATAAATGGTGATAGTGATACATCACCTTAAAATGTCTTTGTGTAGGTAGTTTTATACTGGATCCTTTGATTCACTGTCATCACCCCGAGGTTGACTGACAGCGTCTGACAAAATCTTGAGTTACATCCAGGCTACAGTTCAGTCCTTGTGTTGATGACAGCGTTTTGGCCACTTTACACTTTTCTCACTAGTTTTTTAGCCAAATGGAGCTTTGTTTAGTAACGAGTCTGCACAGCACCTGCGGCTAATGAATCATTAACCAAGAAAGGTAAATAACAAAAACACTCAGGGACTTTTCACATTAAAAAGTGTTTATTAGTGTGGTATTGTTCCATTTAATACTTTGAGAAGAAAGGATTCAGCCCCTCTTGGAATGATTTAACAGACAAACAAACAAAATGCCAGTTTAATACATTAGAATAGACAAGAATATATTTCAATAGTATGGAGAATTTTATTACTAAAACAATCCTTCTAACCAGTTTTTGGATATTTTCATTTAATGTGTATCCTGTTAGCTCTTCAGATGTTGGTATTCTCCAACAACCATTCTAGTTTCTTGGTACTATAGAGTACTTTGAGGGTAATTCTCCTCGGTGGGCTAACAAAGGGCTATGTATGTACAAGCTGCTGAGGCCACACAGTATTTCTAAGTGGCGGTTGGGAACAGAATGGAGGCTGGTAATGGACCCTGACCTTAATAACATCTGATGCTTTTTCTTGGTCCGTAGAAGAATGGACTCAAATCCTGATTTCTGACTGCTGTGTACTATCTGAGAGTTTATAAGAAGAAAATACATTATCAATAATTTAATGCACACGTTACAATAAGGAGAATCACTCAGCATTGTCAAACATCTATATATCATTTTATTGTGACATGATCATACCGCAAAACCATGATGTAGAGTGAATCACTGCAAACTAGATAATGTATCTGGGGACCAGAGACGAAGCAGAATTAAATTTTATCTAACCTTACTCATTTGGACATATTTTGACAACCACCCTCCCTCGTCTTTTCTTACCCTCCCCAGCGGCGGTGCTGAAGTACGAGAACAACGTGATGAACATCCGACAGTTCAACTGCTCACCTCACCCTTACTGGCTGCCCAACTTCATGGACGTTTTCACCTGGTCCCTGCCTTTTGTCGGGGAGAAGGGTGAGCACGCGTACACTCTCAGTATGCTTTTGATGTAACATGAAATGAGAACATCGAGTACAAGCAGTTTTACCAAATGTTGTTTGCACCAGTGAGTTATAATGAACATTCACTTTCCTGAATCAGTAATGAAAATGGCCAGTCTCAAGAAATGTAGCACAGACACACTCAGTGCAGTATAGTAAATTATAGTTCATAAATACAATACTTACTACTACACATGATTTATGACCCGGAGATGTGCTTGGAAAGTTACTAAATTAGTTTGACATGCTAATTAAAAAGGTAAATTAGCACTAGTCCAAGTCAGTGAAACATGAGCAGAGGTCTGCATTTTCTCACTACCTTGAAGATAGTTCCATGCATTTGGTTTTGTTGAGTTTAGAGTACCCCACTGTCATGTCTGTGACACATCTGTGTCAATGAATCACACATAACTATGACTGACGCACTCACTCCAGGAAGCCCATGTTGGGTGTGACCCTTCCACACAGGGCCATTCCTAGCGATGTTGCAAGGTCACAGATGGACACTGCTCACTGGATGTGAATGGAGGGGTCGCTCGTGTCAATCTTTGTCTGTCTAACTAGCTCCACATGACTTGTTGTGGCTCAACGCCTTCCCCAGACACACTTAAAAACCTGGCTGAATACATGCACATGTAGATTACTCACAAATTGGCCTGTAAGAGAATATGCTTTTCTTATTTCTTCACAGTGACTGAGATGCTGGTGAACGTATTGAGCATTTGCTCCAATGATGAGCTGACGACTGACGAGGAGCTGGACGGTAAGCACGGCAGACAGGCGGCAACCACAACAGTTCTCACTGCAGTTTTCCTTAGCTCCACTAGAGGGAGTCCTCTGCTAATAGGAGCGCCACACATACACACACACACACACATTCAGAATCTCCTAAAATTCCTTGTGTTTTTACTCATGTGAATAATTGTTGTATTGCCTTCAGCAGTTTGAAAAAACTTCCTTCAGATGCTCAGGGTATCAGCAAAAATTCTAAGAAAAATCAAGAAACATAAAACTTGACTTGAGTTGAGCCTTAAAAGTGTTGAATGCTGTAAATAAAATTTTTGGAGGTGATTTGTTCTGTAGAGCATGTCTTCTTGGTTTCAAACAGCAGTTAGTCATACACTATTAATGCTTTTTACCCTCATATAATAGTGGCAAGTTGTAGTCATCTGTTTGATCCCGGGTAACAGCTTATCTACAATGAGATGACCAGTTTCCCCTCTGCCTGCCCCACCCCTTACCACCAAACAGGAAATTATCTCACAAGTCCTTCCCTCACCCCTCCTCATTCTCTCTCTCTCTTTGTGTTTACTGATGCACACAGTTTGACTATGTAAACAGCACCCAGGGGTGAAGTGTCGCCAGATATCAAGCATGTTTGAAACTTTCTAAAACCTTTAAATGGAACCCGTTCCTTCAGTTTTATTGGAATTAAATTCAGATGATTGTCTAATAAGTAATCAGGGAATATAAATGTTATAGTTTTATTTTGGTTGGGACTGTGGCACAACTCATACACTGAACAGTCCCTCAAATAATTGGCTTTTAACATCTCATCATTCTCCACCAACTCATTAACTCAGTGCTTTTAGTTGTTCCACTTTGTTTTAACGTTTCTGTTTCCCCTTAAGCTCATTTCTTCTTTTTTTCCCACTCATATATTTTGTTAATTTTCTCTATGTTGACATTTGGATTGTTCTTTCCTTTCTCTTTCTCACTCATGATCTCCTTTTTCTGTGCCCTTTATAATCTCTGATAATCCTTTTAGGATTAGGTTGCCCTGCTATTTATCTGCTATTGTTTCCATAGTTTCCAGTTGCCATTATGTTAATATTTCAAATCTCACCACCTTTTCACATATTTTTTGCATTCTCCTCTCCACTCTCTCTCTCTCATGCTGTGATGTTGTCACTTCCTTGGTTTACCTCATCTAATTTCTTTTTTCTATGTTTTCCAGAGTTTTGTGTTCAAGGCATCGCTTTTCTTTACACTTTTGCTTTCTTGCCTCTTATTTCGCCGTCCGCCCCCTCTCTGCCGCCTCCTCTTTCATTCTTCAGCCATCCACTGATCTCTCTGTCCTTTCTGTTGTCTTCTCTTCTGGGGTGTTTCATGAGAAGGACAGCTAATATATCCCCCCAAAAAAGGTACAAACATTAGCTATAATGGTGTGTGCAGAGGTAGATAGACTTTTGGCCGGTGCCTGCTCTCTGCGTTTCAAAAGTCTGTCAACTAATGTTGCTTTTCAAAGTACCTTCTAACACTACTACTACTGAGTCTTTGTACTGATCTCATTGTTTTCCACACAGATGTGTCACTAATATTACAGTTACATGCGCCTGCTTCAGCTAAGGCCAAATCTGACACATGAAGAAAAAAAGTATTTGGTCATTACCCGAATTAAAGTATTTGCTGCACACATTACAATAAGCAGGGCTACTACAAGGGATCAATAAGTAATAATGGTGTATTCAACCGAGGAAGAGTCTTAAACTAGACATCGGACCGTCAGCTCTTTCCTTTACCCAGCCTTTCACCACACATCAGCTCCATTTCCATCCTACATACTCATGCATTTTCCAAGCCGGCTCCCTGGGGCCTTGAAACTGTTATTCTGCAAAAGGGTCTCTTTAAACAAAGTTTTGTTTTCCAGTCCAGGAAAAATCCTGTTCGAGTCTCCACAACCAAAACACAGCTCAGGAAAATTCATATAGAGTGTGCTCATTGAACATGTTCGGACCAGTCCATTTATAGATGATGTAACAAGGTTTAAAATGTTTAAGTACAACCTTGGGCAAAATAGTATGTAGGAGTTAAAGGGACTTCAGTTAGAGAGACAGCATGAATGCACTGAATGCTGAGAATTACTCAGTTGTTGTGATGTGTGGATGGATTCAAACTATTTTGTATGATCTGAACTTCAGGCTTTAATAACCACATTGTGTTTGCATTGTGTTTGCCTGATGCACTTCTAGATAAAACTAATAGTCCAAAAGACTTGGCACATGTACTAAATGATATGATAGGAAGCAATTAGAGAGTGAAACAAACCCACCGAGCATAGACAATGCAGGCACTTCCTGTGTAGTGTGTATGAGTCACAGTTTGTATGACTGTAGCTGACCTCTGACCCCCCACCCCTAGGTGCCACAGCTTCTGCCCGTAAGGAGGTCATCCGCAACAAGATCCGTGCCATTGGCAAGATGGCCAGGGTATTTTCTGTGCTCAGGTATGCAAACATGAAAAACCGTGTGAGCTGTATGTTCTGCCATTGTCCTGTTACCTTCTACTACATTACAAGAGACTGAAAGGAATATTTAAAGCTGCCCTAACCAATTTTTTTTAATATGAACAATCAATGATCAAACAATGACTTTGTGTAATGTGAAAAAAGTGGTCTGTAGCATTGTTTTTGTAAGCCAGCAGCTTTACTGTTGTGGTTCATTCTCACCACTCTCATCCACTCTGTACACAACGTTCCTGAGCCAAAGTTAGCCACTAGTTTGTGAACATAGTGGAGCACGTAGTTGCTAAAAAGCCAGATATTCCTCTCAGCTGTTGGTGGAGACCATACCGGAGCTAAGAAGAAAGTGAATGTTGGACTTTGATTCTCCAGGTGGTCAGAAAACTGATTCCTAATGAATGCTATTGTTGCAACTGCCAGATGTGTAAATAAGTAGCTGCTGAAAAGTTTGCTATATTAACTTTATAAGGTGATACTGTGTCAATCTTGTGTTTTCAGCTTTTTCCTTTGCCTCCAAGTGGCCAAAAAAGTTTGTTTAGTAGTTATTAGCTTGTCTAAAACACAAAGACAAACGGAATGTTTTAAGATAAAATGAACGACAAGGAAGTAATACCTCGTAAATAAGGTGTATATTTCTGTGTTAATATTTCAGAGAGGAGAGTGAGAGTGTGCTGACACTGAAGGGACTGACCCCAACAGGCATGCTACCAAGCGGAGTGCTGTCCGGTGGCAAAGAAAAGCTGCAGAATGGTAAGACTGTCACCAAGTACCCTGAGACCCCCAGCTTCGGCCCCCAGTACGGATTCTCACACACACATAAATTCCCCTTACACAGCAATACCCTGAATAAATTGCTAGCTCAGTGTATAGGGGACTCTTCCTTTTTCCCTTAGTGATGGTCCTGGAAATTGAAATTGCTGCCTCAGAGTAATACTGTTAGTGTAGTTAAATGTTTCTGGCAGCTTCAGTCAGTATCCTTTCTATACTGTATGTTTAGTTATATACGACTAAGCTATAACAGCTGCTCTATGTAGCTCTCTTTCAGTTTTAATGTAGTTCATATTCAAGTTATATTTCCTACACAGTCCCTTCTTCCCAAACAATGCCAGATTCAGATTCAATAGATTTTCTTTGTCCCTTTGTCTTCTCTAATGTGTCTCCCTCCTGATGTCTCGCATTAATACCCTGTCTTCCCGTCCCCGTCTCTTTCTGTATTCCACTGGTTTTATCTCAAATATTACCTGTATCTTTTTCTTTCTCTTTTCTCCCTAGAAACTGCAGGTATAATCGGTTGTGCAAGTATTCTGTTGTGTTATTTTTATTTCCTTTCGTTTTTGTGAGACAAGTTTAGAGTTCAGTTTCACCCTCTTATGTTGAATTCCAAACACTCCCTTAATGAGTTTGACAAGCTGCTGCAGCGAGGAAGTAAAGTAAAGTAAAGGCTTTCTGGAAAACGCATTATAAACACTTCAAATTACCTTAGACTCCTGACAGACAATGGTCACTTTATTGTCCATTTGAGTGCTAGTCGTGGATCTCAGCAGTGCTCCGTCCGGATTAAGACGGGACTCTCTGTGATTCAAAGGATGAATTGGAATTGACACGACCAACTGTGAATGAAAGGGGGATAGTTGCTGTCTGCCTTTTCATTCACAACATAAAGCAGAAATCCAGACAACTTCCCTCTCCTCTCACAGGTTCTCACCCAACATCAGCTAGCACTTTCATAAAGTAAGGTTTAACATAAAAAAGTAAAAAATCTCTTTATAAGAATAGGTATGTTTTTACTTTAAAGCCACCATAGTTAACAGAGTATGAGCATAGTTACTCTGTGTTATAGTGCATTTACAAGAATGACAATGTAGAGTCATAAAGTCAGTGAACTGTTTCGATATTGTCTGTTATGCAGCAGTATACTTAAAGTTTGCTAACATTAGCCAGTAGATGCTTTGGCAGCAAACTCAAAAAAGTATATGGAATTGAGCAAGAGTGTGTTTTATTGCTTATGAATTCAACTTTTCATTTTTAAGAAAGCGTTATTTTTCCCATCGTCATATTGTTTCACTTTAAAGGCCAATAACCCTCAGATTAAGCTTTATCGTATGAAATTCGCAAATCATGTAACAGAATATTGGTCCATTGCACACAGTGCACAAATTCTTAACTGGACTTTTAAATTTGTGACCTTCTGTGGGAGGAGAAGTAACCAGATTGGAACAGAATAACATCTGGACACAGTTGGTGATTCTATGTATCACATGGGATGGGATGCTGAAAAGACAGCAGTACTGTCATATTTATTTTACATTCAGGGGTGCATTAAGTAATAAGCAAATAACTGTTTTGGGGTTTAAACCACTAGAATTGTGTTCCTGCTAAGACCTGCATAACAATGGTGGTCCTAAGGAGTAATGTATATGAATATGGAAGTTGGAGTGCATTTGTTTTTAAGCCATTTTGAAGCAGCTGACACTAAAGAGAACCCCAGTGAAGGTAGAGTGATGTTCAGAGATTCCTGTTGCAACATTGGTAGAATCACATTGCTCCCCTCCTTTAGGCAGATGTCAGTGTGCTTCTACTGTAATGTTGACTCCATCTACCATTCTGTTTAAAGTCTGTTGCTCTCGTGCCTTTTTGTAATTTTTCTCATCCTCATAATAGTATGTTCTGTAGTCTTCAGTACTGTAAAAGCGTTACTTTGCCGCCACCTCCTGCCTCATCCCTGTCTGTGTGTAAAGCTGATTTACACACTTGTACTGGTTGTTTATTTATGATCTCAAGGATGACTGTAAGGAAATTGGTAAGTGGTTAATATACCAAAGGTCCCCCCACCCCCCACACTTCACAAAAGTAAGCCAGCACTTTTTTGATATTTCATATCAAAAGATGCTAATCCTGCAGTTCCAGATGCTGCTTCATGTTGCACACAACACAACAGTAACACTGCTCCATGCGTCTCCAGCGCTTCGATTTTACATGAATAAATAAGCCATAAAACCTGCAACCACACATGCACAAACCTTATCCCTGTTTTCCATCCGTCCTCTTTCAGCTCTCCTTGCTCCATGTACGCTCTTATTCATGTAATAGTAAAGAACTAATATATTTCCAGCTTTATCATGTTGTATTTGCTCTCAGTGTTGGTCCCTGCAGTATTCATTTTTTTTCTATCACTGCATTGATTCTTTTAACTTTTTCAAAGTTACCTCAAAGATGCAATCCTCTCCATGAGGTCGTTCACTGCCACAAACATGTGTCACCTTCCCTTTACAGATCTGGAACTCATCAAAAAGCTAAGGCTCACCCCACTCCTCTTCCTCCTCCTCTCCCCTCTTTGCTAACATCCATGTGTCCTTTGTCATAAAATGTGGAGATGACGTTAACCTTTGTTGTCGGCATTGGCTGTCTTTGCTGCTCATTGACTTGTTCCTGGGACAAAATGAACTCCTCTGCTCACTTCTCTCATTCGTTTTGCAACCCCCCTCTTCTTCTCTTCAGCTACTATTGAAGCTATTGAGGCTGACGAAGGTAAATGGGTCTGGCTGCCCTCTTCTGTTGCTTTTCATGGCAATAGACAGGGGGCTCCGCTGGGTTTTCATCCATCTCGCTGGTGCTTGAATAGAGTGTGTTGGGTGTTTGGGCTAACAAAATGTGGCATAGTATTAACAGAGAAAAAGGAGTAAGTAATTAGGAAATCCTGTGGTCACAAATGTTTAAAAGGGGAATGGATTTCATAGCACAGATTTCAAAATCAAAGTGTGATTTTGAGTGAGAGCAAAGCAAATTCTATATGTAATTTTTCCCAGAAGTCTGCAGGTTATTCTCAGCTAACAAAAATAATAATATCAGCTTTCAAGACTATATTTTTGCTAGTCTAAACAACATGTTATAATACCAGTTTATATGGTAAATATCACTGTTTATGCATCTTTCATACAAAACATTATCAGACTATTCAGGTTCAGGATAGAGATTGCACTTGAGGAAATGCACATTCACACTCACATAATGTGGGAGGTGTAAATATATGACCATCATCAGGTCACCTGGCAGCTGCACTGAGCTTTTACCAGATATCAGAGGCACCGGCTAGAACAGCATAATGTATCCTGTAGAGCTAGACTGCTAAATTGGCCTGACCCGCATACTGGCTGATAGTAGCTAATCGTAGCAGCATATATGTTGGCTGATAAGTAACAAAAAAATCTTGTTACAGAAATAATACAAAAACATTTTAAAATTCTGCCTCAATAATCCAGTCAGTTCGGGCTACAGTATCTCGAATGCAGCATTTGGTAGATCTTGTCAAGAAATTTACAGAAGGAATCAGCAGACTTTTGTATAAGTCACAGAGACAGTAATCCATCGTGTGGTAGGTTACACTTGTTCTCCTTTCTTCACCGGTTTAAAGTTTTACGGAGGAAGGGAGTACCTTAAACAAACAAGTATTTTAACATTCTAATTTTAATCTCTTACTTTTTGAGATTGTGCACCTCCTGCTCTGCCCTCACACAATGCTGTGAAGTCTTGCTATGAAAGCTCATAATGGTATTTCCCCTTTGAAACAACTAAAGCAGTTGTGCATTGTTGTTGCTGTTGTATTAATATAATACTACTACAGTTTTCTTTAGAGTTTAATCTGAATTAGTAGAGACAAACGCTCCACAGGAGGCTTTGAAATCCAAATTGGATTCTCCCCAAAATCATTTTAATTTACATCGCCTTTGGCGCAAGAACAACCTCAACTGCGAGCTAAATAGTAGTTTGCCAGCTGCTATTTATGTTGGAATTGTCCAGTATTTCCTCTTTAGCCCCATAGAGGACAGTCCATTGTAGTGCCGAGACACTTCTCTGCTTTTCTCTCCATGTGGATCCTCTGTGGCCCTGCTGTGTCGTGTTCTTTCTTGTGAGCTGCTAATAACCTGTGTCTGACCTGTGCTATGCAGCAACACAACTACGCTACCCATCATACCCCTTCTCCACGCTCCCCAAATTGTCCTCTAAAATGATGCCCCCACTCATTCTAGTAAAGGGTCATCGTCTTTGCAATCATAGTTTTTTATCACCATTAAGACCCCAGTCTTTATGAAAGGTGGAAGTAACAAAACCTTCAACTTTTTGTAGTTAAAAACGGTCTGAAATGAAACTCGATCAAGCTGAATATTGGAATTATAATGTAGAAATGTCCCATTGAATTGAATAAAACAGCGTTGAGCTTACAAATGTGATACCATTGTATCAAATCAGCCTGATTTTATTCATTTCAGTGGTATTTGAATAAAAGTTATTTTTTCTTCAAATTGCATTATTCAGTTTAATTGAATTGATCTTGTTTTCATTTAACTCTAGTCTAAATAGTGTGACCTCCACCCCTCATAACCTTCAGTGAAACCTTAATTGCTGCATGCTCCAAGCAGACTTAACAAGTCGTTAGCACCCCAAGTACCTCTGTAGTGTCTTTGTACGTGAGCTCAGTCTCAACGTGGTTCTATTCTGTGGAAGTGAATGTCTCAGTGGGCTCCACTCCAGTGTTTTTTTTTTCTTCCCCTCGTTCTTTTTTGTCTCTTTGATCATTCTCCTTCCTCCCTTTTGTCGTTTTTTAATCTGTGACGTGATGGGGCGATCTGGATGTTTGGGGTCCTCAGGTGTTCTGGAATGTGCCCGAGTCAAAATATTCTTTAATATTATCTATCTTTTGCGAAGTGCATACAATATTTAAGATAATTATACTAAATAGCAGTACAACATGGCTATTAGATGGTCCAGTATTATAGATGTATTTTCACAGAAGCTGATTAAAGCATGGATTTATGGCACAATGAAAACCTGTTGACCCTGATACCAGGAGTACCCTCTATAGATTTAGAAGGATTATTTAATCCTTTTGTCTGTGCAGTTATATAATTTTGAAACTTTTGATAAATGGTGTTAATGTGTTGTCATTTCATAAAATGAGTTATGTCCTTTTTTATATTAATTGTCCGTCTGCTATTGAACCATTTAACATTCAAAATGATCAATATGTAAATAATGCTGTACAATATATGCTGCTGTCTATTACAAATTGAACACATTTAAACAGTTCTATCACCGGTTCAGCCTTATAAATAGTACAGATTTGTGTCGCATCACACTTACAGTTTTTATGTTCTGGAATAAGTCGACATTTTGGGAAATTATTTTTATTCACTATGTTGCAGACTTAGACAAGTAGATCGATACCATTGACATATATGTTTGTTCAATATAAGGGTACAGTCATCAGTTGGTTAACTTAGCTTAGCTTAGCTTAGCTTAGCTAACATCCAGCAAAGTGTTAAAATGACTTACCAAAAAATAGTCACAAATTGGTTCTTGTAGGCAGATAAGGATTAAGACAGAGCCATGCTAGCATGCTAAGCAAATTGACCTTCTCATCCAACTCCATGTAAGATAGAGAATAAACATTTTCCAAAACGCCTGATCTGTTCCTTTTAAAGCCAGCTCTTCAGGGATCAGCAACATGCAGTTATCCTTAGTGTTAGCAGGCCCTTCAGTAACTCATTGTTCATGGAAGGCTTGCAGTTGAATTAGCCAACAGCTCCTCAGATGAAGTATTTATGTTGTCGCTTTCTGAGCTAAACAAATTTTTTGTCACAACAATTCCATGAACCAAGACCAAACCAAAGATAAGCCAAATGTGGTGATGTGTGGGTTGAATGTGAGCGAGTGTGACCCCATTCTTTTAATCATTGAATCTCCCCCCTCTAATATCGCTCCTGATCTCTCCCCTTTTTTTCTCCCCCTTTGTCTTGCATCTCAACAGCCATCAAAGGCTTCTCGCCCCAGCACAAGATCACCAGCTTCGAGGAGGCGAAGGGCCTGGACCGCATCAACGAGAGGATGCCGCCGCGACGAGACGCCTTGCCCTCCGACGCCAGTCTCAACTCCCTCAACAAGGCCCTGTCCTCGGAGACCAACGGCACAGACGCCAAGGGAAGCACCAGCAGTGGCAGCAACATCCAGTGAAGGCCTGCAGCAGGCACTACCTTGGCCAACAGGGCTGCCCCGCCCCCAGCCTCATTACGGCCCGCCACCACAGAAAAGGGGCAAAGGGTGAAATAGTGAAAAGGATGGAGAGTGTTAAGAGAGTGGAGGGGGGGAGGCATCTATGGCTCACACTGGGGGGACATCTCACTTGCTAGTCTTTGGATATGCCTTCAAAATATTAGTTCATAGTCAAATCTGCTAAGTTATTGCCGGTTCACATTTCTGAACAGTCAGGCCTTTATTGTGCTTGATTCTCCACCATACCACAGTATGTCAGAGAGAGAGAGA